TTTTTTTCGATCGGTACATAATTGGTCATAGCTGCCATACAAGGTCCCTTCCCGAAAATCACTTAAACGCACATAACTCATTACTAAATTAAGATATCCATATAAAACTTGGTACAAGTGTTGCTCACATATACAGAAATATTACTATGAAATTTTTTCCGATCAGTCCATAATTGGTCATAGCTCCCATACAAGGTCCCCTCCCGAAAATCACTTAAACGCATATAACTCATTACTAAATTAAAATATCCATTTGGTACAAGTATTGCTCTCACATACAGAAATATTACTGTGAAATTTTTTTCCGATCGGTCCATTATTGATCATAGCTCCCATACAAGGTCCCTTCCGGAAAATCACTTAAACGCGCATAACTCATTACTAAATTAAGATATCCATATAAAATTTGGTACAAGTATTGCTCATATGCACAGAAATATTACTGTAAAAATTTTTCCGATCGGTCCATCCTTGGTCATAGCTCCCATGCAAGGTTCCCTCCCGAAAATCACTTAGACGCACATAACTCATTACAAAATATTGATATCCATACATTTAGCACAAATATTGCTCTTATATACATAAATTACACTATAAAATTGTTTTACGATCGGTTCATATTTGGTCATAGCTCTCATACTAGGTCCCCTACAGAAAATCACATAAATGCACAATATTCATTACCTAATAATGAAATATTACTATGAAATTTTTTCCGATCAGTCCATAATTGGTCATAGCTCCCATACAAGGTCCCCTCCCGAAAATCACTTAAACGCATATAACTCATTACTAAATTAAAATATCCATTTGGTACAAGTATTGCTCTCACATACAGAAATATTACTGTGAAATTTTTTTCCGATCGGTCCATTATTGATCATAGCTCCCATACAAGGTCCCTTCCCGAAAATCACTTAAACGCGCATAACTCATTACTAAATTAAGATATCCATATAAAATTTGGTACAAGTATTGCTCATATGCACAGAAATATTACTGTAAAAATTTTTCCGATCGGTCCATCCTTGGTCATAGCTCCCATGCAAGGTTCCCTCCCGAAAATCACTTAGACGCACATAACTCATTACAAAATATTGATATCCATACATTTAGCACAAATATTGCTCTTATATACATAAATTACACTATAAAATTGTTTTACGATCGGTTCATATTTGGTCATAGCTCTCATACTAGGTCCCCTACAGAAAATCACATAAATGCACAATATTCATTACCTAATAATGATATAGATACAGAATTTTGAAATTTTGTCTTTATATACATAATTGGTCATAGCTCCTATACAAGGTCCTTTTACGAAAATCTCTTAAACGCACATTACTCATTACCAAATAAAGCTATTAATAAAAAATTTGGCCCAAATATTAATTTTGTATACAAAAATTCTATTTCCTTCAGAAAATCACTTAAACACACATTACTTATTACTAAATTACGATATAGATACAAAATTTGACTGAAATATAGCTTTTATGAACAGAAATTTTGCTTAAAGAATTTTTTACGATCGGTCTATAATTGGTCATATCTCCCATACTATGTCCTGCCCCTAAAAGCGCTTTAACCGTATTTAACTAGTTGCATTATCAATTTGTGTAGAACAAAATTATATATATTTATTTTGAAAATCCTTAAATCTTTTACACACATGCATACATGCGAAATACTAAATATCGCTCAGCGCTATAAAAATATAAAGAAAATGGTGTTTGTAATGTTCAATAAATCATGGAATTGTAATAGATTTAAGCTGTTTAAATCTTTGTATTATTTCTATTCAAGACATGAGAAAACTTATTTCTACAAATATTTGATCGATTAGAAAAGCATTAATATATGTATAAGTAGCTGGTGGAGGGTATTTAAGATTCGGCTCAGCCGAATATAGCACTCTGACTTGTTTTAATATTTAATTAAATCACTTTTTTTTTGGTGATCACTCGCGGCAGAAAACTAAAGAAACTAAATGTAATGCAAAAATCAATATTGTTAGTGGTGAAAAATTAAAAATGTATAAAAATATTTTAAAGCAAGTGTCAAAATAATATAAAAACAAAAATATTAGTAAGAAAAAAAAAAAAGAATTAAGAATAAAAAACAAATGTATATTGAGTGAAAATGTTAATAACATAAAACGTTAATGTATAACTTTAAATTCATCAATTAAAAAAAAAAAAAACAAGCAAGAGTGCTATATTCGGCTGTGCGGAATCTTATATACCATTCACCATCTTATATACCATTCACGAGAGAGGAGACACTTGAAAAAAACTTAAGAATTGAATGTGAAAAGAAAAAACATGAAAAACACTTAAGAATTGAATGTGAATAGAAAAAACATGATCAGTTTTGCCTGAACGCAAAGACAATGAACAGTTATACTATTTCATCACTTTTTAAGTTATTTGATTTTATTTTAGTTGACTGTAAGAACTTGTTTAAGAAAGTTCTCGCGAAAAATTTTGTTGTGAGAATTTTAAAATGCAAATGAGCAGCAATATTAAAACTATTTATTTCAGTACTTATTTAAACTAGAAATGAAAGTAATTTAAAAAAAGTTTTTTTCTTCTTGACGTACCGGTTATTTAACCCTACTGCAGTACCTGTCCATTGGACTATCTATTTCGGGACACTTGCCTTTCTCCTAGGACACGTCAATATCAAGTAAAGTAACTAGTAAAAGAGCTAGTAATGTGACTGACTCCCAAGAACCCATTTGGAGATTACCATCGATTGACTACTTTTGACTACCTCTTGGCAGTCTCGTTGTAGACTGTAGAGTGACAAGCCCATGTTAAAATGGTTGGTCACTTAGGTAGTTGGGTGGCTAGGGTCCACCATAAGTGGTATGTCAAGTGGTTAGTTCGGGACTGTCCCGTCGAACTGCTGGGAATCGTAACGATATTATGACAAAATAAATCATTATCTCATTCACAATTTAGCACTTTACACAAAAATATAAAACAATAAAATCCTATTTTCGCTTTGCCTAAGCCTGTTTACATACATACATACATACATACATACATATATACATACATACATACATACATACATACATACATACATACATACATACATACATACATACATACATACATACATACATACATACATACATACATACATACATACATACATACATACATACATACATACATACATACATACATACATACATACATACATACATACATACATACATACATACATACATACATACATACATACATACATACATACATACATACATACATACATACATACATACATACATACATACATACATACATACATACATACATACATACATACATACATACATACAAAAGTCGTATTGAAAATAACAACAAAAATCATGCAAAATACAAAAAGAAAAAAGCAACTGAGAAGTTAAAGTTAAACGTTTTTGCACTCTCCTCTCTTTTTTCAATAAGCCGTTTTGTTTACTTTTTTGTACGTGTGACTATTATTTCTATGTATTAGTAACAACTTTAAACGCTTATAGCTCCTAAAATTCTGAACCGATCTCATTAATATATATATTATGCACAGCTGCGAACAAATACCTTTAAAATCATATATTTTTTGGCAAGATCAGATGTAAACTGTAAGAGTAAAACGGGTCACAAAAAATTAGTCTTGCCTATTAATTATATAGATTTGTAATTGGATTAATTTTATGTGTAATAAATTACTTCTCGAAGGAGTTTGTTGTGAAAAATTATAACAAACAATGTAAATCTAGAGTTTTTAGACAATATAATTAAAATTTTTTAAAGATAAACATTTGTACTTTTTATACCCTTCACCTTCGTGAGAAGGGTATATATAAGTTTGTCATTCCGTTTGTAATTTCTATAATATAATTTTCCGACCCTATAAAGTATATATATTCTGGATCCTTATAGATAGCGGAGTCGATTAAGCCATGTCCGTCTGTCTGTCTGTTGAAATCAGTTTTTAGAGGACCCCAGATATCGGCGAGATCCGAATCTTCAATAATTCTGTTAGACATGCTTTCGAGAAGATCGCTATTTAAAATCAGCAAAAATCCGAGACAACCTCTGAAAATTTCATTAAAAAAGACAATTTTTTCATGCTTTGATTAATAAGCAACAACAACAACACTGCTTATTCATTGAGTATTTCGTTTCACATGTTTGGATGGCTGTGTCTTTCATTGGCATGTGTATATTGTTTTTGTTTCTTGGTGTATTCAGTTTCGTATGTTTGGATGTCTGTTGGTTTGATGGCGTTGTGTATTTTTTTTTTCGAGTATTTCGTTTCGTATGTTTGGATGGCTGTGTGTTTCAGTGCCTTGTGTATATTGTTTTTGTTTGTTGGTGTACAGTTTCGTATGTTTGATGTCTGTTGGTTTTACTGCCTTGTGTATTTTGTTTTTTGAGTGTTTATTTCGTTTAGCGTTGTTGTTGTTCATTTTGTTTTGCTATTGCTATAATAATGATATAATCGGGAAAATTAAATAGGTACATAAATTTAAATTTTATAAAATTTATATTTTTTAAATACACTATGGTGAAGGGTATATAAGATTCGGCACAGCCGAATATAGCACTCTTACTTGTTTTTACTCAATTTTCCTGCTTTTTGAACTACGATGTACCTTTTTTTGCTGATTTCAAATCTGGCAAGCCTAGTTTTGAGTCACATTTATTTACTTTTAAATACATTTCTTTACTAGTTTGACAATTGTCTCTCATATTGAATTCGAACAGAGGCAAAAAAGAATCAAACAAATTTTGAGTTCAGTCCCCCTAAATTGGCATAATCCGACACTGTGCTACGGTGCAAAGTGACACCCAATTGTGACCGTTTGATCACAGTTATAGCCGAATATAACACACTTACTTGTTTGGATTATGCCAGTCTGGTAGTAACTGAGCAATATGTATTCAGAACCAGTAAATTAAGTAAAGTTAATTTTTAAAATTTATTTTAAAATTTTTCAGATTTTAAGATTGCAAATGAACGAATATAAATATCATTACTTATTTACAAGCTTCGATATTGAACTATTTGACTTAGAGGATTTTAAATATAATTTTGTCAACATAACGTCATACCGATTGGTTGATGTAAATGATGTTGCAATTAAAGAAATTTTAAAAGATATGGAGACATTTAAGTATGAAAATAACTTATCAGATAACACAACAGGAATGGATGTGGATTTTAGTACGCACGGGGAAAAATCTGTATTTAATGAGAACTATCGTAAGAGGCGTACAATCGGGGCAGAGCCAGCATTAGTATTTGATTCAGTAAATATATTCGCCGTTGGTTTACAAACTTTGGAACAATCTCATACGTTACGCTTAAAGAATATGACATGTAGCGGGGCAGAACCTTGGGATGGCGGACTAAGTTTAATAAATTATATTAATTCTGTAATTGAAAATCTGTTAGAAATTAAATTAATATAATTAATAAACGCTTTAATTCAGGTGGAATGGCGTGGTTTAACCGGCCCTATTCAATTTAAGGAAGGTAGACGAATACAGTTTAAATTAGATTTGGTAAAATTGAAGCAACATTCGATTGTCAAAGTGGGAGAATGGTCACCTCAAAGTCGTCTTAATATTACAGAACCTTCATTATTTTTCGAGACGGGTTCCATGAATGTTACACTGGTAGTAATTACAATATTGGTATGTATTGTTTGGAATAATGCTATTTAAAGTTCACTTAAAGAAAAGAACGACCTATGGTTTTATTGAGATCAATTATTAAAAATTTTAATTATGTAATAGGAGACACCGTACGTCATGATGCATTATGGAAAAAATTTTACAGGAAACGAAAGATTTTTTGGCTTTTGTGTAGACGTGCTAGAGCTAGTGGCACGAGATGTGGGTTTCGACTACATATTAGATTTAGTACCTGATCGAAAGTATGGTGCAAAAGATTCCCACACTGGAGAATGGAATGGACTGGTGGCGCAATTAATGAAATATGTAAGTATATGGTAGTTGTTGAATATTAAGGGGTTATATTTTGAAAAAAAATTACCACTCATAGACCTTTGAACTCTATGATTTGTAATATATGTCTTTCTTAAATGTTTATATGCATATAAAAATTTCCCATATACAATTTTAGAGTTCTAGCTTTTACAGATTCCCAGATATACGAATTTCAGTTTTAATTTATATGGGAGGTGCAACGCCCGTTATCTTTACCTATCATATTTATTTTTCATGGGAGAAAACACCATCATTATACACATTTTAAACTTTGTATGAAAAGTATCACGACCATTATTTATTTTTCTTTTTCTTAAATATTTATATGGATGTAAAAATTTCCCATATACAATTTTTGTGTTCTAGCTTTTATAGATTCCCAGATATACGAATTTTAGTTTTAATTCATATGGGAGGTGCCACGACCTATTTGTAATCATCCAATTTACTACCCAAATGTTCACATGGATCGTGCAAAATTTCTAGCTCTATTAATTTCCCAGATATACGCATTTGTGTGTTTAATTCATACGATGGGTGCCAACCCCTTATTGCTAGTCAACCAGATTATTTCCCAAATGTTAACATGTATGACAAAGTTGTTCGTGCAAAATTTGAGGATTCTAGCTCCAATGACATCCCACATAAATATTATACAATTTTTTGTGTTTAATTCATATGAGAGATGCCACGTCCCCTAATTGCTAATTCGCCAATTTATTACCTAAATGTTCACATGGATGACAAAGTTGTTCATGCAAAATTTAAGAATTCTAGCTCTAAGCGCTTTCCAGATATATCCAGATATATGGATGTCAATACTGTCCATATACATTTTGAGGACTCTAGTTCTACCATATTCTGATATATTCGACTTTAACCTCTCCCACTTGCAATTTAAAGATAAAAAGTGGCCTATTCCTTCCAGGTATAGAGGAACATACAGTGAAAATTTAGTAGTCTAGCCTCCTATAAGGTACAAACAAATAAACAAACATATTGTTATATATGCATATAGATTCATATGAAAGATGCCACGCCCCCTATTCAAGTCCTCTAATTTTCCCAAAAAAAACTTATATTTACTAAAGTGGTTTGATGACTCTTACTGTTATACTTTCTCAGATATACTTATTTAACATTTTCTTTATATGGGAGGTGCCACGCTCACTATAGCTATACTTCTCATTTAAACCCCAGTTGTTCTTATAGATATGAATGTTGTCCAAACTAAATTTGAGGCAGTTTCTGAGATATGCGACTATTAAGATTTATTTTATATTTGGGCGTGGCACCTCCCCTTTTTGAAGCTTCGAAATAAAAAATAGCCTATAGTCCCTTCCAGACATACAGGAAGCCACTGTGAAAATTTCAAGAAAATCGGTTTAGCCGTTTCGCCGTCTATAGACTTCAACAAATAAACAAGCAAAAAACCCACAAATAAACACATATTCATCTTAATACCCTACACCACTATTGTGGGGAGTGTATTATACGTATGTTTGTGCTGATCTTTATAAGGCATAAAATGGTTGAAATCGGTCCATTATTTCACCTAGCCTCCATAACCATTAGTATCGCGATGAAATTCAGCACAACTAACCTTTATATAAAATTACATCCATCTTCCCAATTTTTTGAGGATCGGCCAAAGGCGTTTTCGGTAATAAGTAAAAAAAATAAGTTTTTTAAGGTTTTTTATACCCTCCACCACCATCAGTGGTGATAGAGGGTATATATAACTTTGTCATTCCGTGTGTAACACCAAGAAATATTCATCTAAGACCCAACAAAGTATATAAATTCTGGGTCCTTATCAAATTCTAAGTCGATTTAACTATGTCCGTCTGTCTGCCTAAAACACGCTCACGTTAAAACTAAGCAAAGGAAGTAAACCAAATTCACCGAAAATATTAATTGTTGTCCTAAGCAGTTTGGTATTGAAAATGAGCGAAATCGGTTCACACCGGGAAAAGTTATGAATCAAAATTTAAAACAACCTCGAAAAAATAAGCATTTTTTTACATATTCTGGTGTAATTTTCTCGAAAACTATGCAAGATAAATTCATGAAAATCACCATCAATTCGTTTCTACACAAGACCTTGTTCCCTGCTGAAAATTGCCCGAATCGGTCCACAATTTCATATACCTCCCATACAAAAGTTCATCTTCCCGGAAAATGGGTTTTTTGTTAACATCTTCCGACAAAATGTGGATATCTTCACAAAATTTTGCAAATTTAAATCTTATATCAATAGAATTCATAAAGAGAAAAAATTGTCTGGATCGGTCCATAATTGGACATAGCTCCCATACAAGGTCACCTCCCGAAAATCACTTAAACGCACATAATTCATTACTTAATTAAGATATCCATATAAAATTTAGTACATGTATTACACATATGCACAGAAACATTACTGTGGAATTTTTTTCCGATCGTTCCATAATTGGTCATAGCTCCCATACAAGGTCCCCTCCCGATAATCACTTAAACGTACATAACTCATTACAAAATTTAGATATCAATATAAAATTTGGTACATATATTACACATATACACAGAAACATTACTGTGAAATTTTTTTCCCGATCGGTCCATAATTGGTCATAGCTCCCATACAAGGTCCCCTCCCGAAAATCACTTAAACGCACCTAACTCATTATAAAATTAAGATATCCATATAAAATTTGGTACAAGTATTACTCATATGCACAGAAACATTACTGTGAAATTTTTTTCCGTTCGGTCCACAATTGGTCATAGCTCCCATACAAGGTCCCCTCCCGAAAATCTCTTAAACGTACATAACTCATTACAAAATTTAGATATCAATATAAAATTTGGTACATGTATTACACATATGCACAGAAATATTACTGTGAATTTTTTTTCCGATCAGTCCATAATTTGTCATAGCTCCCATACAAGGTCCCCTCCCCAAAATCACTTAAAACCACATAACTCATTAGTAAATGAAGATATCCATATAAAATTTTGTACAAGTATTGCTCTTATATACACAAATATTATTATGAAAGCTTTTTTGGATCGGTCTATAATTGGTCATAGCTCCCATACAAAGTCCCATCCCGAAAATCACTTAAACGCGCATAACTCATTACTGAATTAAGATATCCTTATCAAATTTGGTACAAGTATTGCTTATATGTACAGAAATATTACTGTGAAATTGTTTGCCTATCGGTCCATAATTGATTATATCTACCATACAAGGTCCTTTTCAGAAAAACTCTTAAAGGCACATTGCTCATTACCTAATAGTGATACCCATAAAATATTTGGCATAAATACTATTTTTGTACACATAAATGTTATTTCAAAATTTGTTCACGAGCGGTCCATCCTTGGTCATAGCTTCCATACAAGGTTCCCTCCGGAAAATCACTTAAACGTACATAACTCATTACCAAATATTGATATCCATATATTTAGCAAAAATATTGCTCTTATACACATAAATTAAACTATAAAATTGTTTTACGATCGGTCCATATTTGGTCATAGGTCTCATACTAGGTCCCCTCCAGAAAATCACTTAAATGCACAATATTCATTACCAAATAATGATATAGATACAGAATTTGGAAATTTTGTCTTTATATACATAATTGTTCGTAGCTCCCATACAAGGTCCTTTTACGAAAATCTATAATCGATTGGTTATATCTCCCATATTAGGTCCTGCCCCTAAAACCGTATTTAACTAGTTGCATTATCAATTTGTGTAGAACAAAATTATATACATGTATTTTGAAAATCCTTAAATCTTTCACACACATGCATACATGCAAATTACGCTATAAAAATAAAAAAGAAAATGGCGTTTGTAATGTTCAATAAATCTTGGAATTGTAATGATCTAAACTGTTTAAATCTTGGCACTTTTTTATTTCTACAAATATTTAATCATTTAAAAAACTATTAGTATCTGGTGGAGGGTATTTAAGATTCGGCTCAGCCGAATATAGCACTCTAGCTTGTTATCAAATGTTTTGATAGGTGTGAACTAATTATATTTTAAACATAATACAGCAATAATAAGGCTTCGTTGAGAGTCTCGTATGATAAATCTTGTACACGTTTTTGTTTGCGGTATAAGAAGACGGTTGTAAAAGGTTGACGGTAAAATAAGGTAAAAAATACCAAAACAACGACCATCTGAAAAACAAATAATATTATATTATTTTTAAATTATATATGGATAAAATAGTTGAACACTTTCACTTACACAGTGGCCTCCGGTAGGTTTGTGGTTAGTGTGGCACTGGTTAAGGAGCGTACACCAGTCCCGATAGTGGCCTAGGTGTATTTCTTCGGATTTGATATACTATATACATTCTCTTTTCAAACTAACTACTTTCATTTATGTTATCCATTTACTTCATATTTTGGGATAAATGTTTACAAGATTGCTCCTTTATGTTATCTGCAAAGACGGAAATAAACAAACATGACATTAAATGTATTAATATGTTGTTCAGTTTTAAAGAATAGCTTACCTGTGACCATTTGTTTAATATGTCAGAAGTACATTACGCGTGTGACACAACGTGGAGCCGGACATTTTTTGTTGCACAAATAGAATTTAAATTCGTTTGTATGTATCCAGTGTTTCATTGAAATAAGGCCTCTCTTGGACAACGTCATATTATTCCAGCTTACTCATTATATTCAAATATTTGTTGTACAATTTATCTTGGGGTTTCCTTCCAGATTGCTTTATGTAGTAATATTCCTAAATAATAAAACAAATATCAGTGCTATATGTACAAATAATTTCTACTTAAATATATTTTTTCTAGCAACATTGTATATAATGTAGTCAATAACAAATTACGTCATCGAACTTGTTTGATAACAAGTTCGATTATATGATACATACATGATTTCCTTTTTGCGCAGTAAAAATAATAACACATTGTACCGACGACGACTAGCAGACGCAGCAGCAGCAGCAAAGGAGC